GGGATGGGGGTTGTGTGTGTGTGTGTGCATGTGTCATTTACTTCCACGGGTCCACGCTGCGAAAACAGATGCCTGGTGTGGGTTGGCTGAAACGGTGTTATCAGTCTATTGACCGAAGGTACGTGTGTGTGTGAGAGAGAGAGAGAGAGAGAGAGAGAGAGAGAGAGAGAAAGAAAGAGAGAGAGGGAGAGAGAGTGTGTGTGTGTCATTTACTTCCACGGGTCCACGCCACGAAAACAGATGCCTGGTGTGGGTTGGCTGAAAAGGTGTTATCAGTCTATTGACCGAAGGTTGGTGTGTGTGTGTGTGTGTGTGTGTGTGTGAGAGAGAGAGGAGAGAGAAAGTGTGTGTGTGTGTGTGTGAGATAGAGAGAGAGGAGAGAGAGAGTGTGTGTGTGTGTGTGATTTACTTCCACTGGTCGACGCCGCGAAAACAGATGCCTGGTCTGGGTTGGCTGAAGCGATGTTACCAGTCTATTGACCGAAGGTTGGTGTGTATGTGTGTGTGTGTGTGAGGGGAGGGGGGGTTGTGTGTGTATGCATATGTGTGTGTATATGAGTATGTGTGTGTGTGTGTGTCTGTCTGGGCTGGCTGAAGTGGTGTTACCAGTCTATTGACCTCAGGGTGGTGTGTGTGTGTATGTGTGTGTGTGTGTGTGAGAGAGATAGAGAGAGAGAGAGAGAAAGAAAGAGAGAGAGAGAGAGTGTGTGTGTGTCATTTACTTCCAAGGGTCCACGCTGCGAAAACAGATGCCTGGTCTAGGCTGGCTTAAGCGATGTTATCAGTCTATTGACCAAAGGTTGATGTATGTGTGGGTGTGTGTGTATATGTGTATGTGTGGGTGTGTGTGTGGTTTGTGTATGTATGTGTGTGTGGTGTGTGTATGTATATGTGTGTGTGCGTGTGTGTGTATATGTGTATGTGTGGGTGTGTGTGTGTGTGTGTATATGTGTATGTGTGGGTGTGTGTGTGGTGTGTGTATGTATGTGTGTGTGGTGTGTGTATGTATATGTGTGTGTGTGTATATGTGTATGTGTGGGTGTGTGTGGTGTGTGTATGTGTGTGTAGGTGTGTGTATGTATGTGCGTGTGTGCGTGTGTGGTGTGTGTATGTATATGTGTGCGTGCGTGTGTGTGTCATTTACTTCCACAGTTCTACACCATTATTATTCTCATTATTATTCTCATTATTATTGTCCTCCCAGGCTGAAGAAGAACCTGAAAGGTCTGTTCCTGGTCCATCCGACCTTGTGGCTGCGGACCGTGGTCACCATGATCCGGCCCTTCATCAGGTGAGAGAGAGACCTTGACCTTGAGCAAACGACCTCGACCTTAAGTATACGCTGCCCCTGAATTGTTGCCATGCATCGCTCGGTTATTTATAACAATAGTAATGATAATGGTGATGATGATGATGATGATAATTTTGTTTGTCAATGCATCTGCGGGCGAGAATATTATTATTCTTTCTAATTTTGGGAAGAGTGTTGCGGCACTTGCAGCACAATTAGGTCATAAAAGTGCCGAAGATTAGAAGATTAGAGGTGCTACAAGAGAGTAACAAACACAAAAGAGAAGGAAGAGAGATAAGGGCGGTAGACAGAAGGAGTAAACCACACCAGAGCACCTTCCAACCACCCATATTTTGACCTGTAGTACACACTGCCCTGTTGAACTGTTGCCATGCACGGCTCAGTTATTTACAACAATAAAAATAGTATTGGTGATAATACGAATAATAATTTGTCCGTTAATGTATAATGACAAACAATGCATCTCCTGGGTTGAGTATTTCCTTTAGTTTTGCATATCGTGCAAGTCTTTCTGTAGTTTAACTATACATGCATGTGGTTTGACTACACACACTCACCTCATGTAGCGATCCAACTTGCACTGACTGGTCGCAACTCTCTGTTCTGCGCCTCGACCGCTACTCACGCAGTCTTCAAAAGTCCGTGGCTCATGCCTCGGCCTGTCCTTGATTTCTTCAATGTCAAATAGGTAGCCTACCGTACTCGACTACTTTCCCGAGAATCACACAGCTAACCACAAAGCGTTTAACGGCACTTGCAATACAATTAGGTCATATAAGTGTAGAAGATTAGAGGTGTTACAAGAGACTAACAAGCACAAGAAAAGGAGGAGGGATAAGGGTGGTAGGTGTTTGATAGATAGGAAAGAAGGAGCAAACCACACCAGAGCACCTGCCAACCACCCACACTTTGACATTTTGTATATGCTGCCCTGTTGAACTGTTGCACAGCACCGGTCGGTTATTTACAGCAATAATAATAATAATGATGATAATAACTTGTCTGTTAGTGCGTGACGGTGATCTATGTAACTGCAGGGGAGGATATTTCTCATATATATATTTTTTGCAAACGTATATATGTATATGTGTCACCACAACGTGTTGGAATCAGTTGCTCGTCAATTTTGGGGCATATGGAGTTGTTATTGGTATCATCTTATTGTTTGTTTGTTTTAGTAGAGGTTTTACGGCGCTCGCAACTGCATGGTCATATGAGCGCCAGAAGATTAGAGGTGTTACAAGAGAGTAACAAACACAAAAAAGAAGAAGGGGAGATAAGGACGAAAGATATTTGATAGGAAAGAAGAAGCAAACCACACCAGAGCACCCGCCAACCACCCACGTATCATCTTAAAGCTTGTTCATTTGACTATCTTTCGATAAAGAAAAAGCACATGTCGCTTATATAAAAGTGGAGATATTTGCTACTGAAGGAGGTGGGGGTGGTCTGGTTTCAGAGAAAAAACTTGAGAAAAAACGGCAGCTAAAGTTTGTTGATTTCCAAAACTTGAGAGTCCTTGGAAACTTAAACGTTACATTTGCTGTGCCTTTAATCAAAGTTTTCCTGTAAAATCCTCACAGAAATGTTTTTAAAAGGACGTAAAAGGTGTTTAGCCAAAAAAGAATTTTTTTTTTTTTAATTGTCAAACTGGAGTAAAAATGCCAGTATCTTCGTTTTCATTATTTTGACAAGCGCCTGATTTCACCACGATGCCTCACACGTATGTGTGTGTCACAACGCAGTGGAATCAGTTGCTCGTCAATTTTGGGGCATGTGAAGTTATTAGTTCTATCTGAAAGCTTGTTCCTTTGACCGTCTTTTGGTGAAAAAAACACACATCTATCTTGGTTCGGAGTCGCGATATTTGCGATTGAAGGAGGTCGGGGTTGACTGGCTTCAAAGGTAAAATTAACAAGAAAATGGCCGCCAAGCTTTGGTGATTTCCAAAGTTTAACAGTCTTTGGAAACTGAAAATTTACATTTGTATTGCCTTTATTCAATGTTTTTCAGTAAAATCCAAACAGAAATATGTTTTAAAATGACATAAAAGGTGTAGAGCCAAACAAAAAACACAAAAAAACTAGAACAAAATTGAAAAACTGGAGGGAAAAATGCCGATATCTTCGATTTCGTTATTTTGACGAGCGCCTGATTTCACCACGACGCCTCACGTATAGATATAAACGTACTTTTTACATATTCAAATATGTAAATAAATTATACATACATATATTATATATATAAATACATTTTTTTAACTTGCAAAATCTCCTTCAAAATCGTCTCTCTTGCGACTGCCTAGCTGACTCCCATTTCCGTACGTCTGTGTCATCCTCTCTCCGTCCAGCTCCAAGTTTTCCTCCAAGCTTCGGTTCGTCAAGACCCTGGAAGAGCTCAACTCCCTGGTGCCTCTGGACAAAGTGACCATCCCAGACGCCATTGTCCAGTGAGTGACCGCTTGGTGACCGCTTGGTGACCGCTTACTGACTGCTGAGTGACCGCTCGGTGACCACTTAGTGACCGCTTAGATACCGCTGAGTGACCACTTAGTGACCGCTTAGATACCGCTCAGTGACTGCTGAGTGACCGCTTAGTGACCGCTTAGTGACCTAAGTGACCACTTATGAACCGCTTAGTGGCCGCTGAGTAACCGCTTAGTGACCCCCCCACCCCCCACCCCCCAATTAGAAACAGAAATTCCCCTACCTTGTCCCTCCCACCCCTTGTGTTACCGTGTGATTCCCTCCTCTACTGTGCCTTCAATAACCCGCGGGTACCTCCCCCCCCCCCCCCACACCTTTTTGAACAATCCCGCTGTTCCACTAGCTCCTAGCGTTTGTGCCCTCTCTTCTATTTATATCTCAGCCCATTTCCTGTGACGAGGTTCTTCGCTTCTCTCCCGTTCCTTCATTGCTATCCATCATCGTCATTATCATCATCATCATCTTCATCATCTTCATCATCATCATCCACTTCATCATCATCTTCATCATCATCTTCATCATCATCACCATCATCATCATCTTCATCTTCATCATCATCGTTGACAGCTCAAAGATTTTAAAAAGCCATCATCATCATCTTCGTCATCATCATCATCATCATCACCATCATCATCATCATCATCATCATTTGGAAAGCAGAGTAGGAGGGAGAGTATGCTTAATTTTCAGACAAAATTATATAAAAATATAAAATGCCTTTAAAAATTTTTAAACGATACAGCCCAACTTTTCGCCTTTTGGGCTTCCTCAGGAGCAATTGAGAGTAAAACTAAATGGGCACTGTATAATAGCAGGGAAATGGGCCTGTCATCATCATCAACATCATCATCACCATCATCATCATCATCATCATCAACATCATCATCATCATCATCATCATCATCATATAATGCCAGATTCTAATGAAATACTGAAAAATCATGGTTGGTTCGCCATTCTTGTCTTTGCTCGGATACTCTCTGGAGTCTACCCCTGCCTCGTTTGCCTTCCATTTTTTCCTGTGAGAGCTAGGTCAAGATATTCAGGCCTTCTTTATGTAAATTAAGTTTTCTCAGAAATTGCATTTTGTCTCTTCCTTATAGATTTTATTAGTGAATTGCCCACCATTATTATTCATTTAAGTAATTCTGTAATATTATGACATATGCCTAAGCTTTATATCTGATTATATGAGTAGTTGGTCATTTTTGAGACAGAGTGTCCCTCCCAGAACCTGCATTAATTGTCTCTTCCTCATTGATTTTTATTAGTGAATTGCCCATCATTATTCATTTAAGTAATTCTGTAATATTATGACATATGCCTAAGCTTTATGTCTGATTATATGAGTAGTTGGTCATTTTTGAGACAGAGTGTCCCTCCCAGAACCTGCATTAATTGTCTCTTCCTTATAGATTTTATTAGTGAATTGCCCACCATTATTCATTTAAGTAATTCTGTAATATTATGACGTATGCCTAAGCTTTATGTCTGATTATATGAGTAGTTGGTCATTTTAGCACCCCC